ACGTTATGTTCCCGCGACAATCTCAACATAATTATAGAATAAAATATTTTACATGTTATAAATGTGTGGAATGTGAAGAATTATTATATTTCATTTTAAGTTTTACTCAATTTGTTTTAAACCGACTTTTGATAGGAAAGATTTGAAACAAACGAAGCTCTTTCCAACATTTGGTAAATATTTGTTTATACATATAGTTTGAATTGAACAGGTTCCGATATATCAGACGGAGATTAATGGCAGAATGATATATCGATTAAGAGACATTTATTATTAAAATTCAAATATAATTTGTGTTGATATTAAGTTTAAAAAATTATCAAGTGGCAATAAAACTCCGGAGTCAACGATCAACAAATATCAAACGAAAAGACAAAAATACATTAGTTTAATTGAGTTTACAAATCATTACATTATACTTTAAAAGATAGAATATCACAAAAGGATCAAAGGATAAAATAATAACAATTTCGAATGCATTGTAGTTAAAATATGTATATTTCCCTTCGAATGGGATAAAAACCTAACGGTACTGGGTTCAAAACACCTGAAGGAATATCATAATGTTCCAATACGGACTTTAACAATAAGACAAGAGGAAGTATACAACATGTCAAGCTGTAAATCGCCGAAGTTTAAAAAGACATGAATGCAATTATCAGACAATAAAAGAACTGCTATCATTATCGAATGCCCCAAACGACCAAAAAAAAAAAAAAAAATTAAAACAAGATTTAACAAAAACAAACAATTTTGTTCCGTTGGTTGATAAAAGTCTAACGTTTGATTTTGTTAGTTTTTATGGACTTTCCCCTTTTTTGAATTTACCTTGGAGTTCTGTATTTTTGTTATACTTTTTTAAGAAGTAACTTACTTGGAACTTGTATATTGGCCCTTAAAGCGCCCACAAACTAGTATTCGAAATCGTAATCCTTTCCCTATTAATTTGGATCACTTAATATTGCAAAAGTACATAAAACCTTTCAATAGATTTCATGCATATGAAAAGCACTAAAGTGTTATACTGGTATTAAAGATCTAACACACATATCCAAGTAATCAATGACAGGCAGTTCTATGCCAACGAATGCTTGTAATTACAGATGAAAGTATCAAAAGAATTGACCCTTGTTTCGAACTCATGCCGTACTACACTCTAGATTGAAAACCGAAACTGCTAAGATATCATATTCACAAATGAATGGCCACAATGGGTCAATAGATAACCATATCTAAGTTGTTAATGGCTTGAAAATAAAACAGAGTGATCTACTTTGAAAACAATTTTACAAAGTTTTAAAATGACAAAAAAGAGACGATAGAGAACTGGTCAGAGGACCTACCATGGAAAGGTAAAAAATTATGGAAATAGCCTATTTATATATATACTTAATATAAGAGAAAAATATTTGTAAGAGATAAGAAAACATGTAATGTGTCACACTTTTGGTTAGAATTTAAGATTTGCAACACTATTTGCATTCATATCACACCAAAAAAATGATCGTCATTCATTTTATACAGCACATGTGTTAGTTTTTATGTGGGTACATGTAGCTTGTGTTGTTACAAATCAAACTGATGATGAACAAATAACATTATGAAATAAGTTTGTTGTTTTTAGGCATGTTCGTTTAATTGTTGTGTACAGTTTGTTCTTGTGTTGTGCTGCTGTACCACTGTCCAAGGTAAGAGGAGGGTTGTGCGCTTGCTAGCATGTTTTACCCAGCCACATTTTGAATGTGCTTGTCTTAAGTCAGGAGCCTATAACTCAGTGGTTGTCGTTTGGTGCTGTATATCATTATTTTGTTTTCGTTTATTGTTTTATACATAAATCACGCCGTTAGTTCTCGTTTGAATTGTTTTACATTTGTCAATTAGGAGCCTTTTATTATAGCTTGCTGTCAGTTTATTTTCGACTTATGAGTTTGCATGTCCCTTTTGTATTTTTCGCCTCTCTTTTGATGTGCGGTATGGGTTTTACGCATTATTGAAGGCTGTACAGTGACATACAGTTGCTTACTACTACGTCGTTTTGGTCTCTGGTGGAGAGTTGTCTCATTGGCAATCATACCACATCTTTTTTAAGCTGAGAATAAAAATGTCACCTATTCTTGTTTTCACTTTTCCTTAAGCATAAAAATCTATATATTGATCATATTGTCTTGTCCCTTTTGCTGAAGTTAAAAAGTTCAAAGGGTAATTCGAAATGTAAGTACACACTGAAAAAAATACTTGGATGAATTGACATCATCAAACTCAAATGATCGAAATTTGCCTGAAGTTTTTTCTTCTGGAAGAATTTGTTTAATTTTTACTTCACGACAGTAAAAGAACAAGTCAAGTTGAATGTTCAAATACTTTGTATCCATGTCAATTTAGACTGTCTCTCGAAATATTAATCGTCTTATCGAAACAACGAGTATTACTATATCTTGTAAATACAAGGAAGGACGAAAAGTCCTGCCACTTTATTAACCCTATTATTCACCGTGTACGCAAGACGCATGTTTCTACATAAGACGCATCAACGACATTCGATTCAAAACAGTGTGAAGGCCAAATCAAATACGTAGTTGAAAAGCATTATTAACCAAAAGTTCCCCCCCCCCAAAAAAAAATGGGCCAAATAAGGCTACGACAATCAATACATTGGGATAGAAAAACCTTATTGTTTCGAATAATTCAACATTTTATAAACAGTAAATGTACCATAAAATGAACATAACAATGACATTAAATATCTACACAACAGTGCTGACTACTAGACTGGTGATACCCTCAGGAACGAAACGTATACAAGCAGTGGCATCGATCCAATATAAAAAAAATAAGATCAAAATTATCTGCTTTATTGTTTAATTATTGTCTAAACCTTCTTTTGTACACCCAGGCAGATTTTGCACAACTTTTTTTTACATTTAAAGTTCTTCATTTTTTCTGGTGAATTTGGGCTTCAAATTTAGTTGAATTCAAGCAGCACTGAAAAGTCTTATGTAGACGAAACGCGCGACTGATGTATTAATTATAAGTGTTGTTTTTTTGACGAGTAATGAAGGTTCAGTGTCATGGTCATTGTTTGTAAATTTGCTGTTTAAAAAATGTCGAATTCATTACATATACTATGGTTTTCTTACCTTAGACATATATTGCCTATGTTATGATTTTAAACAATTTATGAAATTTTGTTGTTCAATAGTCAACGTAAGGGATATAGATGTCAAAATGGTATTTCCAAATGATTTGTTTATTTCAACCTCCTTTTCAAGACAACGGGAGATCTAGAGATTGAAATTATGCATATCTCTATTATTAAGGACAGAATTTTACATTTATATGTATTTTTTTGTTTTATTGTTGTTGGGTTGATGTCTCATTAACGATATTAGACATCCCTTTCATTTTATTTCTTTCCCTAAAACGTGCGCTAAAAATCATTTCAGAAAAAAACTAACTTACGTCTACATTCGTTAGTTCAATATAATAAGCAAAAACAAAACTAATAGTTTAGAATTTTTGTCCAGACCCGGTTTTTATTATATATTAATACATTATGGTAATGTGAAGCCTCAATAAGTTGTTATACGACCCTCGACATTCAGAAATACATTCTTTCTGCGGTTATGATGTGAATTAGATGTTGAGTTATTTTCTTCTAAAAAAACTCTGAAATATTTTATATACCATTATCTAAACTAAATTCCCTATTTTAAAAACTCAAAAAACTTCCGTTATGAATACAAATTCCTCTAAACTCAGACAATAGTTGTTGAAAAATACTCATTACTGGTTACAAATTTAAATGTCTAATAATTACGTCCGAAAATGATAAGAACAAAGTGCTAATACCTGACACCTTTGCATCTTATAAAATGAAAAAAAAATATAAACTTTACCAAAGGGAAGAAATGTAGACTCGCGTCATTTTAAGATCAAGCGTCTCGTATTTTTTTAATGCTATTTTTTTCAATTAAATTTACGAATTGCGAACATCGGAAAACAAAAATTGCTTCTTATTTGTACAAGTATGAAATAAAATAAAACTAATTCTCTCCATTTTTAGTCTAAGGAAAAACGAATTAATTCTTGTTTGACGGAACACTAACCACAAGTTTCAATGCAACTCAATTTCTATAATTTTTTTAAAAATACAAATTAAAGAAAATGTTGGGCTGACCAGTTTTCACCTTTGTATTCTATTCAGTTATATAAATCTTCCAAAATAAATTTCCAGAAAAAAAAAGCTTTTTCATTCTAAATTTTCCAATATATATGTATGTTTGCCTTATACGAACTCCGACAATTATTTGGAGTGCTTTTTTAAAAATCAATTTTGAACCAAAAATTATCTTATTAAGAAACTAAAAAGTTTTTCATAATGTCTAATGTTAAACTATAATAAATATTATTTTAACAAAGTGAGTGACAGGAAATGTGTCAACAATATCTAACCAATAATGTGTTTTCCTAATAATTCTGAAGATTGATCAATGTGTTGCTCAAATACTTTGATTTAATTGAAAATCTCTTGTCATTCCAGACGGTTTGTTCACTCTAAATAATAGATTGCTCGGAGCAGCATGACATTGAGCGTATCTTTTAAAACTTAATGGTGATCCCAGAACAAATTGTTTTACGCCTTATATTTAGTACTGGAATATATATATTTTTTTTAAATTCAAAAATAAAATACATAATTTTTATAAATGTTACAGATTATATTTCATAATTATTCCAATTGGAAGATTATAGAATTGTATAATCATGGTTTATAGACGAGTTGATTATTTCCAGCTGTTAAATGGTGCTGATGACTTTTCTTAACCCGTTTCTGCATAACCCGTTACTCGACATTACCTATCGGTTAAGAGGTCACAAAACATATAGGTTAGATAAAGTTTCGTGCTTGCAGTTTAATAATAAATGTGTCATGTGAATTTCATAATTATTCCAATTGCGGTAAAAAAAGAAATGGCATGAAAGAAATGAAATATTCTTGTTTTTTTTTCTTTTATTAATTAGTGTTTTGTTAAAATAAATCATTTATTTTTCCAGCAGATCTTTCCTAGCTCTGTCCTATCAAACAGAAAAGACATCCCTATCTACAGCCTAAAAAACAAAACCAAACAAATAAAACTGTCATACAGAATATAGAAGTATGAATTGACAGTTATTTATTCTATAAATTGTGTATACTTGTTGAACTTAAATAAATCACGATAATATGGTTCCTACATATACAAACTTGTAACTTCGTGTCGCATTTGTATTTTTATAGTAAACTTTTTAAAAGTATAATAAACAAAGCATTTCAAACATTAACTATGGTTGTTCTGAATTTATACTAAATTGTGAAAACAAACTTACAGACTTTGATTTGTTAATGTAGATATGGCTATTCATATGAGATGAAATAATTCGTTACTTTGTAGATGTTCGATATATATTTTACCTTATTCAACACGTATTGTTAATATTCGAATTCATTTTCGTTTTATCATTGATAATTAGTTCATTACTTTTCTTAGCTTTAATATATTTTTATGGAATAAAGTGTCTGTAAAGGAAGACAATTCATACAGAAGAATAACAAAAATATGATATGTGTAGCCATGCTCAATAAAAAGTGAAACTAACACTATACAATTTATCCGTGTCCAAAGCGCCTATCTGGTCTTTCAAGAAGAACGCTAAAACCTCAAAACTTTAATGCCAGGGATATATAAATACTTTAAAACTTGAGGCGCTACATGAATATGACATAAAGGGATGAATTATCATCCAACGCCTAATGTTTTGTCCATTGTTACTTTTTATATGAATGCCATTCTCTTTTATCGATTCGGATAACATCAATCATTGTAATGTGCTAATCATGAAAAGGGAAAGTCTGAGCTAATATCATATTTTTACACACCTCTCATTCCCAGTGCTCGGCGTCTTGTACCTAAAATGAATTGATTAATTTTAATCAGCATCATCATTATGTCCTTTGAAACCTTCATATAGATTTTAAGTAAACAAAATCAAGGTAATTCACTAGAATTTTGCAAACAAAGATTTCAAATGTATATCTGGCCCTTGTTCTCCGGCTTTGGGAAAACTGATTATGAAATATTTGTCATTTTTGTTATCATAAAATACCCCGCAAACTGATTTGTTCAAGCTAAAACATATCATAAAAGTAAAAAATAAACAAAATAATCTTTTCTAGAATATGTTGACACAAAGCTATAGGAATGTCTTAACCTAGTTCTAAAAAATAATTGATTACAACAAAATCATTGTTAAAAGATTAAAAAAATTGGAGACGCTTCAGAAACAATAACACCAGTGTTCATTTAGACAATAAAATCTGAAAAATAAATAGTATGAGACTATCCCTACCCCCCCTCCCCCACAAAAAAAAAATTGTAGACAAAGCAAGGGTAAAAGACAGAGAACGTAATCAGGCTCCTATTCACAATACACAAATAAAGTTAAAACAACAAAATCCGTAAAAATTGAGATGATTATCTTGTTATAATGGCCTAAATAATAATTATTTTAGAACTAATATTAATATAGACATAGCAGAGCTATGTAGACATAGTATACTTACGTCGGTTTGCATTCTTAACTGAAAGAAAATCAAGAGCAACATTCAATAGAAATAAGAAGATGTGGTATGAGTGCCAATGAGACAACTCTCCATCCAAGTCACAATGTGTAAAAAGTAAACAGTTATAGGTCAATAAGCCTATCTTGTGTCTCAAAAGAAAGAAAAAAGGAGATTAGGACAGTTTTGCATAATGTGAAGCATTTTTAGCAAAGGTGTTCATCTAAACAAATCTTTAAAAATGTAACATAAAATTCATAAAATTTAAAGATTCATATATTTAAAGGCTCAACTTTGGTTTAATGATTGACTGAATATTTGTTTTGTATATGACATATTGGACTGAAATTATAGGGAAATATTTTTCACTTATAATTTTAATTGAATTCTTCAAATCTAATTTAAACAGATATTTTTGTAAATGTAGGTATTTCTGTAAAGAAATAAAATATCGGTAAGCTATCAGAATACGAGAAGTTTTTTCTATTAAGTGTGCAATTCTTTTATATATAGTCAGAATCGGCAACTAAAAAATATCAAAATATAGTATCTATAGTTTTTTCATCTATATTTGAATATGGTCAGCAAATTACCTAGGACGATACTTACCCTTAATTCTATGTAAAACTTGGATTATTGGTTCAATAAACGATTTTTGTTTTTATTGCTACGTCATAATGATATTTTTGCACTGACGGAACCATTGTTTATCATTTACCATTCATGCAAATAGTTTTTGAAAGGAGTGTGGGTTGTCACTTGTTTGGAATTCCAAATGATTCTAATGTTGGTCTTTATGATATATTTGAATATGATATAATTTAAAACGTACCAGCTATCAGCATGCCATCCTTGTGAACTTTTTCTCCAACGTATAGTTTGTAACCTCTACAAAAGTCTGCAATTTTTTCTCCAGCTATTTGTATCATTTCATCATGTGTAATACGACGTGCACGTACCATAATTTCATCTTTTACTTCATGTCGGTAGTGTAGCCTAAAAATACTTGATGTGTAAGAAGTTTTTTTTTTGTGTTACTTTTATCGCTACTGGAACTTGTACTGAGTACTGAGTATAGGAGATAATGCACAATTTATTAATATATATCTATAACATAGAAATTACGCATCACTCATACAAATATAGTGAATATATATATATATATATATATATATATATATAAATGATCGTTTAGGTGATATAAAAACAAGAAACGGCACGTTATGCGTCAAACGTTGGTACATTTATTTTGAATGTGTTTTTACACGAATACTTATTTAACAGTTCTCAAATGTTTTAATAAAATAAAAGTAACAACTCTAAACTCTAAAATTAACACCTAAGCACCGAATCCACTATTTTGAACGTAACGGAAATCCAAACAAAATATAGATATAAATGCATAAGACTAAGTATTTACATTGTAATTTTGTTCAACATTTCTACTGAATCACTGTAATATTCTTTAGTATCTACTATCATACAAATTCCATAATCTATGTTCTTTATGGCAACCTTTTTCTGTAAAATAAAGAATGTTTCATTTTACTAGTGTTTATTATTTTCATTTCACCTCAAAATTTAAACATGACATTCAAATTAGGTATTGGTAAAAGCACGAAACAAAAAAAACAAAGAAATAAACATACAGATAGCTAAAACAAAACTATTGTAACATCAAACATACGTTAGTTTCGTTGGTTTAAAAAGTATCAAACAAAACGAAAAACTAGGATTTTATTTTTCTTTTCAGTTGAATTGCAGTGATTTTTATATTTTGTTGATTTTTGTTGATTTTTTAACTGGTTGAGATAAAAACAAAAAAACAGTAAATAACAAACCATTTCGAAGTCATGAAGATTAATTGACGGACAAAAAGAGTTGTTCAGATGAGATACATCCCCGAGATTGACAGTCATTGTATTTTCCTTCGAGTCAACAATAATATCCTCGTTGATTCTTCCTCCAGGTACTTTGACATTAACCCTGTATGTCTGTCAGTTGAAAAAGATTTACATAAACTATTATATTACCAGTAAAAGATTTTGGGAATACATACAATGCATGAGAATAACAGGGCCAGTCTGTTTATTTGAAAATTTAGAATTTTATATTCCGTTTTAATACCGAGAAAGATATCGACTAAGTGATAGAAAAAGGAAAACAACACTTATTAAATTTTGTGCGTTTGAAGAGTTCCACCTTAATCATGAATGCTCAAATCTAAAAATTTGAAAGCCAAAGATGAAAAAAAAGATAACATACCTATTAAAGTAAGTTGCAAATTGTTCTCTTCCATTTTAAATATGGAATTTATATACTTGCATTTTGGCGTCATGCAAGATACGGCATTTAATCAATCAACAATATACGTTATTTGCAAACTAGCTTTCTTTATTTAATTTGATAAGCTCAAGTGTTTGTCAAAACTATAAAAAAAATGCAGATCTGTGTTTGCAGTATATTACCGCGATTTTGCCAAATACTGGTGGTTCATTTCAAATACATGCAGTCAGTATGTATATCAATATTGGTACACGAGTTTGAAATTTTAACTTCTTATGATGGCAATAGAAGGTCATGTTTGTGAAAACATGCAATAATTATTAGCGTAACACGTATATACATATCGTAACGAATGTGTAAGACAAAGTAAAGGTTATAATGAAAAGCATACATGATGTGTTAATGTGATATCGAAAATTGAATTGAGGCAAAACACGGGATTAATGATAGCATAATTTTATAAAATGTAGCTATTCTGAAATATCTACATATTAAAGTTGAGCGTACAAGATAACCATGTAGTAATTCAAAGGATTGCATGCATTTTTAGAAATTAAAAATAAAAAACCAACCTGGACACTTTCGTTACTCTCTACTGCAACGAACGACGAAATAACTGCGAACACAATCGAAATATACATATTTTTTTACTTGGGTTGGATATTCTTTTTATACTCCTATCTAAAATATATAATTTTCTTGTTATTCACGTATCTAAAATATCTGAATATCTTTTATTAATATACGGATAATATATCAAAAGTTACACAGCTATCCATATTGTACTGATTTTCAGTTTCTAAGTAAAATTATTATGTTTGAGAAACATTGAAACCGGTCAAGAATATTAATATGTGATTTTCAGAGGTTTTCCGTAAACGTGTGTGTGTATGTGTGTGTGTTTTTTGTATGCTTCTATGTAGTTGTGGCATCTCTTCGGTATATTATCACTACTATTGTTTACCAAGAAACAGTTGATATGTGGGACTTAATTTATTAGAAATTAAATAACAACAGGGATTAAAATAACTGAATGTCTTCTTATTACCTTATGCTTGCACAAGAAAAAAAAAATAGTTTATCTTATAAATTATACTTCCTTACTGAAAAAAAATCATAGTTAGAACATCATGTTAACTGAGACACTTGAACTATTACAATGAAACGTTCACAATAAAAATATCAGAAGAAGATCAAGATGTGTAACAGGTTTTTTACCCTATAGTTTACTGTATTCATAGTTTATTGTTTCAAGTTCACAGGAATATATAACATGTAAGTACTCAATGCAAAAAGGATACTTGAGCATGAGTGAAGGAACATTATCAACCCCATTCAAATCTCAGTTTTATTCATATATCCTGCTACAATTCAAGACAATTCGTAAAACTAATTAAAATTTTGGACGGAAAATAAACTATTTGTATTAGTTATATTTTATCTCGTGTTCAGTTTTATTCGTCCTCGAGGAAAGCACCAGGCCAGGATTCATTTGGTTTTCAATGTTATTCAAATAAGAATCGTTGGTACAAGCGCCAATGATAAGTCTTATATAGACGGAATGCGCGTCTGGCGTGCAAAATTTGAAGCCTTGTTTCTTTGATGATATGTTTTATTGAACTTTCAATACCAAAACATAAATATATAAAAATTACAAAAAGGACAGGAGTTTCAGATCGATTAACAGCGTATCATTTGAAGAAAAAATAAAGATAATCTTGCATTAAAGGTACCCAACTTCAAGGCTAGTCTTTTAACCAATAGTTTGACACGCGAAACAGTTATCTTAATTTCAGGTTTATAATGAGTATATATCTAAAATTTATAACACAAGAATATACAAATAAGGAGTTGAGGTAGGATCGACAATGAGACAAATATCCACCAGAGGTCAAAGAACGATAATATAAACAATATAGGTCACGGTACGACCTCCAACTATGATCAAAACCGATACCCTATAGAAAACTTTAAAAGGCCCGGAATGCAAAACCAGAAACAATTCAAAAGAGAAAATCAATGACCTGATATATGCTAAAACATCAAAAGAAACAAAACACAAAAGTCAAATAGAATCCAACGACAAACAATAAATTACAGGCTCCTAATTTGGGGCGGGCTCCCGAAGAATGTTAGTATTTTTGTATAAGCATGCTTTAGTATTATTTAGGCTCATTAACGTTAGCTTATGTATTCGCAAAGAAGTTTTCCGAAGCCTTGTTTTAAATCCTCACCAGGTATACATACTAGTATATAAAATAAGTCATTATCCATAATGATATTCTTTATATAGATATAGGAAGATGTGGTATGAGTGCCAATGAGACAACTCTCCATCCAATTTAGTCTATATATTCAACTTAGCAAATCTAGATAGTTTTACTGAACCTTTTTTCCCTCTAAGGTAGCATAGCACTGTTTTAAATGTTATATAACACATCAAAAGGTAAAATTTGAGGCAACAATATTATATAACATGAATATTTTGTGATATGTGGATACTAAATATACACATTTTACTGTATAGTAAACATGCATGGGGTAATGCAAATTTGTAATTACATGCATGGTAATGCATTACATTTTTTAACGTAATTACATGTAATATGTAATGCAGCAATTTTTGCATTACATGTAATTGTAATTTAATGCATTACTTTAGCTTAAAAGTTGTGTAACTTTATGCATTGCATTGCATTACATGGCATTACTTTTTTCAACTACTATATATCTTTAACATATTGTTGGAAATGTAACTGAAGCAGAATTTAAGATTTCTAAGAACATAATCATTTGAATATGGATTTTCTATTTTCTATTTATTTTTCACACTTTATACATAAATCACCAGAGGGGATTTGGAGATTGAGCCTTGCCCCAGGTAGAACTTGAAAAAAAATTGGTTAATCTGAGTAAGACTTTCAACAATTAAGATATTGTATTATTATGTCTGAAATATTTCACACATATATATTTAAAAAATAAAAATAAAGTGGTATAAATACAAGAATGACCAAGTTACAATTCTTAATGAATAACACAACTATGGCAAGCCGTTCTCGTCAAAACTACGTTTAAAACATTTTTCGAACATTTTACACACTGAGAATTAAAAAAAAAAACACACTGAGATTAAAAAACCTAAAAATACACACTGAGATTTCATAAAGACGCATTGAGATTACGAAAAATGAAAAACACACACTGAGAATTGAAAATTACACACTGAGAATTGAAAATTACACACTGAGATTTCAAAAAGACACACTGAGTTGAAATAAACTGAAACACACACACTGATTATTTGAAATTACACACTGAGAATTTGAAATTACACACTGAGATTTGTGCGCATTTTTTATGCGCACATATCTAATTAGCATACGTAATCTTAATCTATTACAAGCTTAAAACAACAAGGGGACAGAACTCGTTAGTCCTTCACTCTGACGCCAAATGTTTTATAAAATACATTAGAAATACAACGTAAAAGACCAATAAAACAAGAAAAATACCCACTTTCTCTCTTTACAAAATATAACCAGTATTATATGTCTCTGATATAACCAAATGGTGAAAAACTTTAATAAAATTATAAGAAAACATTGGAAAATCTACAAAAAGACAAACAATGCAATGACATTTTTACCCAAGTGTCTATTATAGCATATAAACGTAACAAAAATATACAAGATTACCCTGCGAAATCAGGGTAACAGTTGAAAGACTTTTGAAAAAGGACCTATGCTTAAACAGTTTTAAGCAAACAATCCCGATACATCGTTAGCAATAATATTAATCTGATTTATATAGACAACAAAATTATGAATATGAGTTAGCAAAAAACGATGTTAAGTCTTGAAATTTATTATGAATGTTGGTTGAACCGCATTTCATTATAATGACAAGAGTTCTAGAGACCAAGATATTAATCTGTTGAATTATTCATCTCATGAATATTCATTAGTAATTTGTATATTAATCTCAATGTGTATTTTTGAAATCTGAGTGTGTAATTAACAAATCTCAGTGTGTGTTTTCCAATTCATTTCATCTCAGTGTGTAATTTTAATTTCTCAATGTGTGTTTTTCATTTTTTTTAAATCTCAGTGTGTAATTTTAAAATCTCAGTGTGTAATTTCGATTTGTCAGTGTGTTATTTTAGCTTTTTAAATCTCAGTGTGTAATTTTTTCGAAAAAAGGGTTTAAACATAGTTTTGACGAGAACGGCTTGCCATACACAACACTGTATATCAGATTGAGTTCTTTTTTTTATTTCATTTTAATTCATACATGTTCCTGCATAAAAAGATTGATATTTGAAAAGCATTACTGTAAAAGTGTTCCATTCTTGTCAAAAGATCAATGAATACCTTGTCATGATTAAATAACAGATAACTGAACATTGTCATAAAACACTACTTAGTTTGTTTTACAATCAATCTTTTTACCATTTTGACACTTAATAGATTAAGCCATATGTTTATTATATAATTAGGAAAGAAATTCTCAGTAAATATTTTGATTGAAATTAAAAAAAACAAATGTATATTAATAAAAATAAAGTTAGCATAAAGTTAAAGTAAGTATTAAAAGAGGGACGAAAGATACCAGAGGGACAGTCAACTCATAGATCGAAAACAAACTGACAACGCCATGGGAAAAAATTAAAAAGACAAACAGACAAATAATAGTACAGATGACACAACATAGAAAACTAAAGACTAGGCAACACGAACCCCACCAAAACTGGGGGTGATTAAACTTCATCTCTGTAATTTCTTTAAAGAGAAAACACAGAGATGTATACCTGATAGAATGCGCATGAAGACTGAAACCTTCGAAACCCTCTAATATGATATTAAAATGTAATAGTCGTATTGAATAGATTTTTTACATGTTTACTTAAATTCAATACATGGCACAGTTAATGCATATGCTAGAATCTTTTGTGACTTCATGTTGTTTTTTAAAATGTTTGATTTTTCTTTTCACTTAATAATAAAATTTACATATGTAATGTGTAATTCAATGCATTACTTTTCAAAAGTAATTGTAATTTAATACATTACTTTGATAATTGAATGTAATCGTAATTGTAATTTAATGCATGGTTTTGTCAAAGTAATTGTAATATAATGGATTACATTGCAATGTAATTCGGCCCATGTCTGATAGTAAAGCACGGAAAAAATAATAATCTTGAACTACATTCCATCGGATCAAGTACGCATGACTACAAACTATTTTATCAAATTATACGGCTTTTAATTAGTCAAACGATCTAACAGAAGTAGTCTTAAAAAGTATAAGAAAATAACGGGCGAAAATGGACCATAACTATGTTCCTCTGTCATATGGGTTGGCTAAAAAATATATTTTGGGATATATAAACAGTGATGTATACCAAAGATAATGTGTACATCCCTCATTTAGACTATGGTTCAAAACCATTGACATGATCGTTGAATAGAGTTTTTTGTATTGCAAAATATCAAAACAAAACTTATTAATGAACTGTTTTATCTTGGTATCTATGATGAGTTTATTTATTCATTCATTCACACACGAACTGCAGTTTAGTTATTTGAAATGATAAATACTATTATCATAATTTTTGGAAATATTTGGAATGAATATTTCATTTAAATTTGTAATGATATCACCGGATTTGATTATATCCACTGTATTTCCTTTTTATTTCATCCCTCAGGTGCAACGGCTTTGTATTGGATCCATAATTTTGTAACGATTAGTTCCGATATCTCATTAAAAGATACAGAAACTTGAACCCATTACTCTTTCCTGCATTCCATTGTTGTAAAATATAGATTCATAATTAAGTCCCATCTAGTATCGAGTAAACATCCTTGATCCAGTATATTTGTATTAAGAATATCAACAGATTTACATAAAAGACCACTATAAGGTATACTCAAAAATTATCGTTTAAAAACCATAAATATTTGGGTGAAATATTTGCTCTTCGTGTATCATGTATCCTTTACTTGTAAAAAAGTCATATTTTTAAGTAGATGGAGTTTGAACATCCCTTTGATATATTCCGCCTCTCTTTTAAAGAAGGAAAAAGTTAATTACATCTTAGAAATAAATAAAATAATCCCAATACTAAATGCACAATGGTTGCAATATAATCAGGTGAAAAGACTGCCAATAGAGCTTCAAAGTTAAAAAAGAAGCAGGAATATAACAAAATATAATATATCGATTTTAATTGCAACAATGAAACAAAACACTGTGAGCGCTGTGCGTCAGATTATAAAATAAAAAATAAGAAGAAAGTAATTGTAGTTGTTAAAAAATATATTCATAGTTTATACGATTTTCACTATCAATTATATAGTGTACTATATTTACTGCAATTATCTATTTGGCTTTATTTTTGTTAACCTAGTTACTTAAGTATATTCACTTGGATAATTGTTATTGTACCCCATTTTTATAACGAACTACAGTTGCCTTCTGGTTTTCTCACTCTTTTATCTCAAAACTCTTTTTATATCAAATAAAATTGTCTATCCAAACTAATTAATTTGCATTATATAAAAGAGAGGCGAAATATACCAAAGGTATATTCAAACTCATAAGTCGAAAATAAACTGATGATGCCATGGCAAAAAAAAACGACCAAAAGACAAACAACATTAACAAACCGCACCAAAAATACCAGAGATTAACTTAGGTGTTCCGTTAAGGTAAATATGAATTCATTATATCAACAACACATTGGCGGGATGCATAAGTACCAAGCCACGCCAAAAGGATATTACCAAAATGGACTAAACAGTAAAGGTTGATAATTTACAAAGACAAATAAAATAACACTGTAACACATCATTAAGATGATAAACAACGTCAGTACCTAGACTGCTTTATTAATGTCATGTACAACAAGGCGATTTCCGACAGAAGTCTCTTGTAACCTTCTGCCAATATGACTTAAACATGCATTTTCAGTTCTGAATTGATATTTTTGTATTGATATGCATAAATAGACAACAGGATAAATGATATTATCGTGTCGTGATTCACATAAGGATCTGATGCAGAATTTCTTCCATTATGAAGCAAATTAAACTAAGTAAAAGGAGGGTTTTTTTAGGCAACAGATGATATGGGCAATAATATTTTGCACGCCCAAACCATTGATCTAATGGACCTAGCTACATTGTTTTAGTCAATGAAAATTATGTGTTGTTACTATTTACGGTTTTTCTTCACTTTATGGTCACAGTATTGGCAAAGATACATTCTGCTTGTGTTTATTGTTTTGTCGGTTTGGTAATGGTTACTACCTATCATTACAAGACCTCGACTACAGGAGATCCTGGGCTCGATCTCCACCTCGTCTAACCAAACACTTCAAAACTGGTACTTCCTCTGCTTGTTTTCTCCAAACACGCAGCAGATTAAGAACTATTACTGGTTGGTTCATAGTCATGCCGGGTTTTTTTAACAGTTATTAAGTTGCAGAAGTACGGTGGGCGGCGGGCGGGCTTCTGCCAACAGTTTCCGTGCAATGACTTATGTACCGTTCAACCAATGGTTTTCAAATTATAATATATTGTAAATGATGACAAAATGGATGTAAAGTTTAATATTGACAATTTTTACCGTTCAGGAGTTATGGTTTTTGAGAGATTGAAAAATGACACTTTATATCGTTTCCGTGCTATTACTTGTGTATCGTTTAACCTATGCTCATAAAATTTTGATATGCTGTTACTGATGACTGGATGGTGGTCAGGTTCGCGATTTATGATTTTTATATTTGCCATTCGGGAGTTATGGTCCTAGATATATTAGAAATTTGCACTTTATTATGTTTCCGAGCAATTACTTTTGAGCCGTTCTGTCAATGCTCTTAAAATTTTGATATGCTGTCACTGATTACAAAATAGTTGTAAAGTTTGATATTGACGATTTTTGTCGTTCAGGAGTAATGGTCATTGATAGATTGGAAAATAGGCATAGATTATGGCAGGTAAAAAAGGCCTAAAAGCGCATTTCAAAGTACAGAAAACCCAGTTTTCTGTCAATTTGACAGCTCATTTGTTTTATTGAACTGATATTTGTCTGTCCGACCAAAAAAAAAAAAAAAGTATTTTTGCGACTAATTTATTTAGCTTTCATTCCAATTGGTACTTTATTTTTTTATTTAGTCTTCTTAAAAGACTGTGTGAACTAATTAAAATAATAAACGAGAAAATCGGTCCTCCTGGCTAAATCACATTAACGTGTTTTTTTTGTTTGTTTGTTTGTTTTTACATATTGTATTTCATACTACACCAATGTTAACTCACCTCCACCATACTATGTATTATTTGTATATCGTTTTTTTGCATGTAATTCTCTATACTTTTGATTGTATTTGGTTTTAGAGAATAAAGTATTGTATTGCATTGATGATATTATATTGCACGAAATGAATTGGTCGAAACTATAATCCCATGACCACACCTTATAATGAAGAAAACCTGATAAGTATGTGCACCGCTATGTACTTGAGAAGCGTGTCAGAAAGTCAGGATTTCATTTTACTTTCTCTTGATCAAAAGTTCTGAAATTGACATAAGTTCCGTTCTACATTTCTGAATATGGCTTTTCTACAGTTGGAACAGAATTATGATTGTTCTTTGATATCTACAAGCAAAATGTCTATGAGTCAATCAAAATACATGTTAATCAGTGCTAATCAATTAAGTCATTTCTCGAGTATCGTTGCATGTAAAACATAAAAAAACAAGTTTTAGGAACACTAGCTCACTTTTTGAATGCTCACTTTCGAAACTTGTTACTATCTTGTAGACAATTAAAAAAAGGACAAAGATGTGTGGATGGTCAAGCTTGTTGCATTTGTAATGCTCTCAGTTACTGGCTTAGGTAATGTCTCTTTTGTATTTTGCCATCAATATAACTATATTTTTACTTCGGCACAACGCCAACATGTCTAAAAAAGTCGACGGTATAAAGATCCGAAACAGTTTTAGGTTTTCAAACCATTTTATTTTAGGTCCATCAAGGTTCGCTGGTATTTAGACTTGGGCTGATTTTTGTCTTTTTTTATGACGAAAAAGGAAAAAAATTAAATTCAAACCCTGTAAAATTTGTAGGAAATTTATAAATTTTAAGGAATTGGATTTAGGATGTTTATTTTAACCGGATCGAATGAAAAAATCAATAGGAATTTGGAATCACTGTAGGAAAACGTTTATGTTTGAGAAAAATTAAGAATAACATTTAAACAATACAAGTATTGATATATAGAATTGATGAATGAAAAACATTTAAAATTGAGAATTATCCCTTCATTTTACAACTCCACACCAAAGGATACGAATTAGCCGTTAACGGTCTGTGTTAAAATAGTGTATTGTATAAGAATGCATGTCAAGGCACATGTGTTTTGCCTTTAGATTAATTAATAGTATTGGAAATAGATTGACAAGTTTACTTTTAATGATAGACTTATTGTTAGATTAATCAAAATAAATTTGAATTACACTCTATATTATGTTCCATTTTTGTCAACCTGAAGGGGTGTCACATGCACCCGGCGACACCCAATCACTGAATAATCCCTCTGATAAATTAAAAAAAAAATCTCAGAGTTACATTTCCACTGAATATTGGATGATATTACACCGAAACAAAAACAAACAGAATTATAGAACTTTCTAAATGAAGTATAGGAGACAGTTAGCGATTTCTGGTAACTGTAATTGACTCTTGATGTCAAATAAAAACTTTCTTTTCACTGATTCCGATTCGTACTTTTGATTGAAATAAGGGATGTAATTAGCTCCTCTCAATTAACAAAATGTCACTTACAGGTTTCACGTAAGGAGTTGCTTCACACTGATTCCAGAAATACTGTACATGGTTTTAGGTTCTTTTATGTGAAATTAGAGGAAATTAGCTACCTCCAGTTTACAAAAGATCACCCCTCCTGGTGGACAATTTTTTAAGTTCATTTGTCTTTCAGTTTAATTAATCGCAGTAACTGTGAGACTCTTATTTCGGTGTTTTGTGTCAATTTTATTATGTTAGTTTTTTTGTGTGCCTCGTACCGATCTTTTGAGTTAAGCCAGTGAGACTGATTTTTAAAGTTTGTTCTTATGTTATACTTTTAAACCTCTGTCCAAGGTTTAGGGGGGGGGGGGGGGGGGGTGTTTAAGCGCTCGCAAACATATTCAACCCCGTTTAAATATACGGCGATATTGAATATGTAGATCTAGTTTAGGTGATTATAATTGATAATTACAGTTTTTCTCTAACTAAATCACCACGAAGAAACTGACAAAAACATTAAAATATCAATCAAGGGATATAAGGAGTCAACCATTTCCTCTTTCTACTGGAGCAGGAAAAATATAAGTGGCATGCATAATGAATGGATCTAAACTTGCATACATCAGTTTATTAAACCTTATATCAGGTAATAATGGTTACAATGAAAAGTATATTTTTTTTAACAAGAATGCAGAGGTTACTTTCATGAAGTCTAGAGCAATGCTCAACAACATTATTTAGGATATGAGGTGTGAACAATTTCATTTCATAAGTGAGTATCTATACTGCAATAATAGGTTCATTATGTCAATCCAAACATTATTTATCATTATATAATATGGAAGTGACATGTCTTGCTATGGGAATTTTAAGAAAAAATTTAGAATGAAAAGTAAGCATGTACACAAAAAGATTACTAAAGAACAATCATGATAAATTTGCAATGAAAATAAAATTGAGAATGGAAATGGGAAATATGTCAAAGAGACAACAACCCGACCAAAGAGCAGAAAACAGCTGAAGGCCACCAATGGGTCTTCAACACAGCGAGAAAATCCCGCACCCGGAGGCAGGCTTCAGCTGAAATGAAAATGCATTTATTGTTAATGGAGAACACAATTCGAGTAAACAGAAAAGGGACATGAGTAAGGATTGCGACCACACACATTGAAATTCCTTTTCATAAATAGAGGTATACATGTTAAATCAAAATTATCATACAAGAAGTGTAAATATTTATATAATTATACCAAGATAAAAGTCAAAATTATATTCTATGAAATAGACAGACAGTTTCACTTTTGAGTGTACAGGTATCCAGGGGCATACAATAGCATAAACTCAAAATTTGTCATTATGATTTTTTAATCAAAAATTTATGATTGGGACATACACAAATTGTAAAGGTAATTTAAATACGTGCACATTTATTTGATCGAAATAGTAACCTTTTAATTTCCAACTAGTATTTCATAAAGATATTTTTTAAGTAAAACCTTAGAATATGACTTTGAACTCAATGTTCTTTAGTTACACGAAGGCCCTCCAATCAAAATACCAGTTTTTTTCTTTTATGGTTAACGAATTAAACTTATATATCAGTTAAGCCAAATACAGAAAGCATATTATCCGCATATGAAGATTCCAGACAGCTTTGGTAAAATTGATTGCGACATTCTGAGGACATGCATGTAAAGAGTAATTTGGATTGATTTTGTTGATTTCTTATACGGTTGCAAGGAGTACATTTAGGGGTTATTAAAAAAACAAAAATCGAACAGTGTTCGATGAAATAACCCTTACATAAAAGTATTTTTGATTCAATAGAGGAGGTTCAAAAGAGCAATTACTATACAATATCATATGTCAAATATCTTATCAACATCTTGAGAAATCACAATACAGCGCAAGAAAAAAGTGAACAAAATCTTAATTACAATAACCTTTTAAACTTGATGAATGGATTCTGCTATTCAAATTTATTAATAAATTATCAATGGATTTTATGTATTTTAAAGAAACATTTATTCGCTCATTAAATCATTGTGTGTTTTAAAAGGTGACAACTTGTTTTTTGTTTTGTTTTATTCATATTGCTAAATGCACTCGATTTGTTTATTACTCGATAGAAATCCAGAGATTCGTTTCAAAATGTTTTTTTGTTTCCATTTCTTTATGTTTAAACTGTTTGTAAGTTTAAGATATATGACGTATTCATCTAATAATGTGGATATTTATATTTGTATTGTGAGAGGACGTTACTAAGTTGTCAACTTGTGTCTGATCCATTCGTCATTTTGAACAATAAAATATGTTTAAACTAACATATCGAACATCGTTTAATGAAAAGTAAGGCGAATATCATTCTGTAATTGTGAAAATAATACAAGTATAAACATTGAATGGGACGAAAAATTCCGATAAAATACAAACACTGGAACAGAAGTACAAGAACAGGGACCAAATTTACCACATCTAAAAGTTAACACGAAGGAGAACACAAGTGGGCAATTGGCTTCTTAAAAAGTGGGAGTCAACAAGAATTAAAAAGGACGACAAAATTCGGGGTTTGCATCTCATGGTCGAAGAGTGTCTGGTTGTCTGGTTTTCTAAAGGTGTTGTTATCAAGACTAAACTGAAGTATTACCCTACCAAATTTTTCTTTTATTTTCTTTAGTTTTTACTCGGACACCTCACAGTCATGCATGTTAACGACAAAAAAAAAAAGCGTTCAAATGATATCCTAGACAAATATATAAAATTAGCGAATACATTTAGAACAATTAATCGACTAGAATTTTGAAACAATTGTTTAAAAATATCACACATTACATCATACTATTTAGAATAGTGTCATGTTTGTGGCTTACGAAGTTCACAAGAGTGTTTGAATATCAAGAATAATAATAATTCATTCATTTTAGGTGTAAAACTTGGAAGTAAAGAATTCCGTAGAAGTATGCATCAAATTATAGTTTGACATATTTTCAGCAGCAAATTAAAGAAAAATTTCTCAGTCTTACTTAATTAATAATAAGAGGCCTGTATTATGATGGCAGTTATGTTTTCTGTAAAACATACTTTAATTAAAGAAAGTGATTATATTGTTAATGATATTTGTATCAGAAATCTCCCAAAACTTCTTTGTTCCATGTAACATATAAAATTGAGAATGGAAACGGGGAATGTGTCAGAGAGACAACAACCCCGATCAAAGAGCAAAAAACAGCATGAGGTCTTCCACTAAGCGAGAAAATCCCGCACACAGAGGATGATATTATAACTATTTAAACATTAGAAATTCCTATTATTATCTTAAGCTTTATGCCCGTTAAACAAACAAAGACTGGGGAACCCGATGAAGTCAACAGGTAACGAGACCGGGTGTTTCGATAGGGCGAGCGTCTCCAATTATGACCCGCCATGCGAATCAACACTCAGTCAAAATATCACAATCGGGAATAGATTGCGAAAACATGTCACTATTGAGTTAAGACACAGACATATATATCGTATCGGTCAATCACTTGGTGATGTTGGCCTTAAAACTCATGTAGTTTCGATTTAAGTCGTTCATTCTCATAACTCTGTTGGAGCAGTTTTTGTAAATAGGGTCATAATCCTGCTAATGACCTCCGTTTAGTGTGAACATGCCATACGAAAGGAACAGAATGTATGTCACTGCTGAAGGTGGGAAGTTGACAATCGGAAGTTTAAATCCTCACGTTTGTCATAGATTCTAGTTTGAAGCGGTCCATTTGTGTCAATATCGAAGAAAAGATCAAGATATGAAGCAAACCTTCTAGTGTCAGTAGTATCCTTTATTTCGAGTTCACAACTGGGATGTATGAGATGCAAGAACCCAATAAAATTTAGTTTATTTAGTGTCAGGACATCATCAATATATCTGAAATTGAAATTAAAGAACTGTTTTTAAATTTAGTTTTTTAAAAGGTTTTATATGAATCTATATGATTTATTATTCGTTTTGATTATTAACAATATACAGACGTAATGTAATAATCGGAAACATAAGACCGTTTCTTCATTTTCATAGATTTGACTTGTTTAGTTTTAGGGGGCTATCTTCCGAATTAGATATGTGGTTGCATTGCTGACATAAATACAAATTAAAAATAGACAAAATAGGCGTAAAGAAATGCATCCAAACTGACTATATAAGTGAAAGTTGTTTGCATTTCACAATGAGTAATCACTTGCGAATATGGACGTTTAAATAGTGATTATAGGATAAGAAAGCCTAAACAGATTAACACTGATGCACGTGTATCACTCACATCTTGATATGGTCGTTTACACTTTCGATCGCTGATACGTTTTGAAAATTCGTATGTGTGACACCCCTGAAAAATTTCTGGATCTGCCCCTGATTTTAACAAAAACAATTCTGCCAGTTCGGGTGCAAATTTAGTACCCAATTTGGTCCAAATGTCTGTTGAAATATAAATCCACCAAACTCAACAAATATGTTGTTCAAAAAAGGCCATCATTTCGATAATATCATCTTCGTTGTATTATTTGTTGAACCAGTGCGATTCTTTATCTTTCAATTTAGCTAAAGGAATAGTAGTGTAAAACGTAGAAAAATCAAATGTTACGAGAATGCTGCATAATTTTTAAGATTGTGATTTAAATTTTGTAGTAGATCTAAGAATTTTTAAGAATCCATATCTGTTTGAATACACCTTGTCATGATATGTATCCCAGTTGTTAATTCTGTGAAATATTCATATTATGTCATTTTTGGGTTTATTTCATTACACGTCTGATTATGTTGTTATCCACGTACTTGATAAAATGATCTCAAAGTTTTAAGAATTATTTGCATGCATAGCAGTAAGGATAAACAAATGATTTTTATCGGCTCAACGTATCAGTTCTGTTATTCCAGACGATACCTTTTATTAACAAATTTTGGGTAAGTGTCAGCTGTGTTCGGTTGAAAAACTGAAGAGTATCTGTTGATTAAAAGAATAAAGAGAGCAATGTGAATGATTGTAAATGAGACAACTATCCGTAGACCAAAGTACAAAGATGTGAACAATTACAGGTCATCGTATGGTTACTAGACATTTTCGAAAACTATTCGATACCGACGCTAATACCTATGCCTATGCATACAGGTAACATTTTTGAGAAGGGTCATCTCAATGTGTACAACGAACACATGCATTTGTATTATATTTTTTTTCTAATTCACATTTTGAATACTGTACAAAACATTTATTTTAAATGATTTGCTATTTTATTGGCTCTGTTTAGTAGCTGAACATTTACCGATCTTAGTATTATACTTTAAAAGAAGGGGGGGGGGGGGGGCTTTGTGTAAATTAGTATAACTTTAATCAGAAACAGGAAGGTGTAAAGCATTTCATAGCGTCAAACATAAATTTAAAATATTATTAGTTATCTTGGTGTAATCTAGGGTGTACAGAATTTTACACCGGTATTTTTTTTTGTTTTGAGTGTTTTCTTCTTCTTTTTTTTTCACTTAATGTAGCTTTTTTTACTTTGACATTTTGATGTGTGTGGAATTTCACAATACAACTATTTTTATTTTGAAATCTACATTTTCAACTGAAGTCAGCAAAACGTTAATTACAAATCCTAAGAACTGATGATTTACACAAATTTAAAACATTGTGTATACTCTTGCTTCATGAGACATACGATACTTTATTTGAGAGCACAGCTGCCGTCGACGATAAACTAAGCCTGCACAGATATCACAAATGACAGATAATTTGTTCATTGAATGTATTCACAGTGTCCCGAATGCTTTCTAGAAATTTCATTCGCCAATTGTATATTCTACCGCAACACTGAATCCGTTTGAATGGTTGCAAACGGAGACAATTTAAAAAAAGATGGAATATCACAAATTCATTCCTTAAATTAATCCAAATATAATGAGAGCATTCAGTGTTTCTCAATGTTTCTAGCTCCGATTCCGAATTATAATTAAAGTTAAATGACAGAATACATTTGTTTCCCTCTGCAACCATGTTTTACGAGATCATTCATTCAGAATATTTGACATTTCGATACGGTCCCTATATTTTTGTAGTCCGTGTAGGTGTCGATGTCGGTGTAAGAGTCTGTGTAGACGACTTTTCGAAAATGTCTACTAAGAAGGTGCAACCCCAATACTGTACAATAAGTCATGATTGCCCCGTAAAGGAATTTAAAAGAGAAAACCAAAGGCCTGAATTATTCTACAAAATGACAGGTGTCTATTTGCAGACAAGCACATAAAACTTTAGCAGTATTAAACATGTTTGTAAGCTCATATCATTCCGTCTAATCTGCAGGTACAGTGGTGTTACAAGACAACATTACAACAAACTGTTTTCAGTCGAGAGGGGTTGACTAATCAGATAATTACTCTAGCACTAATACAAAAAGAAAACAGACTCAAATATTGATCTAATAGTACTCGCTGTTACGGATAGCTAGTTCAGGGCACATATGTATCTATAAAATAAATACACGTCCGTCTCCAGTGTAATGATATCATGAATATCACTATGATTCTAATGCTGGGACCTAATTGACATAAAATTTGCAGAGCATTTTAATGTTTTTATTTCTTTTGAGAAACTGAAATATAACGGAGAATTTTGATTATGACTTAACTACTGTCGAAAAATGAAAACCACAACAAGACTGACAAAAACAAGTGTTTTCGGGCATCAAGGAAAACGTAATTATAGTTTAAACACAGAACAGGTGAGATATTAAAATGTTCCACAATCATAAAATTTTATTATTTTAGTAGATATATAGAATTATAGAAATGTACACCTTTAAATTAAAATCGATACATATACATGACTGTTAAATGAAAATAAAATAACATATGTTGTCGCAGCTCACGCAATAACAATATGCAATTTTGTTTTTCTCATTTTGTCCTCAATAATCATCATTTTTCAATCTCAGGACCACCTATCTTTTTTTTGTAGCTTTATGAAAATAGATAAATGTCAATGATACAATTTGAAAGACCCAAAACATCAAATTTCAACTAATTGACAAGGTTCTTTACACTGCATCTTTACAATGTATTAAGAACCAACGGTCTAATCTATATAAACACCGAAAAATGAGAAACACCTATGAACCACACCAACAAATGACAACCACTGAACAGCAGGCTCCTGACAGTTTCTTTATTTTTCCAATTTAATCGATACAATTATTTTCATAAATAATTAAAAACAAAACACAACCAGTTTCATAAATACATAAAAAAAAATATTCATTCAATGCGTTTTACTCATTTTGCTGGTGAATTTTTTAATTTAATAAAATTATCAAATCAAAGTGAAAAGTAAAATTACAAAAATACCGAATTTCGAGGAAAATTCTAAACGGAAAGTCCCTAAATAAATTGCAAATTCAAAAGCTCAAACGAATGGATAACAACTGTCATATTCCTGACTTGGTACAGGCATTTTCTTATGTAGAAAATGGTGGATTAAGGAAAGTTGGCTTGTCAAAATTAGATATCGATATGGAAAATATGTGTACAGTTGTCCAATCAATTTTATTCATTAAAGTCTCTATCCTTCTTTCTTTCAGTATTAGAATTCAACTTCACATGTAACAAAGATGTTTATAGCTGTAATGTATTACAAACTATTTAGTTACATCTGTAGATGTACATAAACTTACTAAGCCTTATGACTAACAAATGACAGCGACTACGGAACCTGGCTGATAATATACAGAGATAAGAGGTAACTGAAATGATAATCGTAGGAATACATATAATGCTATGAAAAAAAAAACAACACACAAACAAACACTAAGAACTTTTATTGGGGTACATAGTTCCTTGAGTACCAACTTCAATGTAATTTTCTACTGGCTGCATAGCTCTCTAGAAAAGCCCAACTATCCGTATGTGTATGTAGCTAGACCAAAAAAGTTCAGGGAAAAAAATCCAAAGGAATCGCTTGATATGCATCAAAGATTTACACTTTTGAAATTAAGTTACTTGCAAATTTAAACGGACCTTATCCCGATGTTAACATTGAATGTGAATAGATCGATAAGACCGCAAATACATGTACAAAAAAATATTAAAAATCTACCTACTTTGTAAAAATCTTTATTTTTATTTTTTAAACGGCACAGACACTTTTAAATCGCTATATTCACGAAAAGATAGTATTTCTATATTGAAAGTAATAGAGCAAGTATAGACATGTGTACTCGAAAACATAAAGATATAAAAGTATATTTTGGGAAATTGTTACATGCTAAGGCCTATGTGATAAAACTACAAAAATTCGGACCTGAAAGATATACATGATTTTATCCATGTTTTTTTTTTATCAATATGCAGCAAACATTAACATTTTTTTTAAATTTCAGTTTAACAAGCTTCTAATGCAATCATCTCAATAAATAACAAACACAAAACATCTTGTATTTGCATGTATATTTCTAATAACGCTGGTTAACAGCAGTTTTCTTTAAAATGAACGATTAATTTTTATCAATAACTTTTCATCAGTGTTCGGATCACATCATTAAAAGTCGATAAAAGACGAGTATGCGATTTAACTAAGTATCTTTATTCATCAAATTACATTTGGATTCATATACTATCGTAACAACAGCATACTCGACTTTTATCGACTTTTATTGATGTGATCCGTACAATTCTCAATTATGATCTCTCGAAACAAATAACGATGTGTCTCCGAAATCAAATTAACTTGGAATGAATATCAACTCTAGACAACGTAACGTACGTCAAAAGTGAAACGTCATGAAACATAAAAAACGGGGAAAATTACAATTTACATGAGAGCAACATAGCTGCATATGCGCAAATACTCAAAAAAGTATCTACAAGTATTACAAATAAAATATATAAATTCAGTAATAAAAAATGAATAAACCAAACAATTTGGAACGACATTTCAAATCTAACAATCAGTATCGGCACCGACTTTTTTCATAAAGAGAGTGACTTTTCTATTGTTCTCGCGTCATCGGTTTTTCCTGTTTGGTTATTGTACTAAGTACATTTTTTGTCATTTTACTATGTTAATTCTTGGTTATTCGACTACGTTATTTAATGATTATTGTAAGAAATAAGCAAGTGGTTGCTTATAAAAGTGGGAGAATACCTTCCCTTTTTTGACCAACGAGGAGTATAATTTGAGCTCCCTTTATGATACAAAGTTAGAAAAATTATCTAAAATACAAACAAATATATCTTCAGAATTTGACAGACGGGATTGGTGCGAACAGGGGTCTTATTCACTGAAATACATTCATGTCTTGAAATTTACCCAATATTTGACAGGCTAGTTATTGTGGAGTGACAAATCAAGAAAAGTGGCTTATTTTTAATGAGTTTAATAGACCGACATACCTCACGGCTGAAATCCACATGATGATAAAGTAAACATTATACTATCATTTTAGCCCTGTCGTAGAGTTTTGCCATGGTGCAGGTTTTTGTAAAATCCCGATGAAGCGTGATTTTCCGATTTTTTTCTTTTTCATTATCAAACACGGAAACGCTTATAAATAATTCCTGAATGAAGATATCAGCAAATATTTGCTATAAAATGAAAGAGTAAGGTGTCAGCTTTCATTTAATATCAAAATTAAATATCATATGATAATACACATAGAATGAATTTGAAGAATTCAATTGCATATGATATTTTTTTCAATCTTACCGTCTGTCAAAGTATATTAAATTTCTTACAAAAATAATGGAACAAACAATACTTTAGAAGTTTTAATATATCAAAGGTTAATAAAACATACAAAACAACTTTTACAAGCCTTTTTATAATACTCATCAAATAGAAGTTTTACTATTCAAAAGTAAAATCACTAAAATACTGAACACCGAGGAAAATTCAAAAAGGAAAGTCCCTAATCAAATGGCAAAATCAAAAGCTCAAACACATCAAACGAATGGATAACAACTGTCATATTCCTGACTTGGTACAGGCATTTTCTTATGTAGAAAATGGTGGATTGAACCCGGTTTTATAGCTAGCTAAACCTCTCACTTGTATGACAGTCGTCAATATTGACCTCAATAAGTCATGTTACGCTCCCTTTTCCTAATTCCCCCCTGACATTATGAATTGCTGTGTTTTTCACAATGAATCAAATATGCATTTTCTGAACTTTTCTAAATAAGAATATAGATTTGTATCAATGTTTGTGTCTAGATGTTTGAATATGTACAGATGTAAAGGTTTGATAACTTATTAGGTGTTTTTATTCTTGTTGAGTTTTTTGAAGAGACTAATTTTAAACCACATTGGAACACATCCGAATTAATCCGGAAAATTATGGACAGTGCTAATTCCAATAAATAAGAACAAGTAAAGTAGCTTAGGTCGTGTTATAAAGCCTATACATGTACAAGAAGAATAAATTTTAATACATTTGAATAAGGGAAAAACCAATACGTGTGATGATGAATCAACTTTTGTTAAAACACGGTCCATGGCATTACCATTAGACTGGTCCAAATGTTTATTCTGCATACAACAGTCATACAGCGAAATAAGCAATTAAGGCATGGCGAATAATTTGAGAGTACCGATTATGTTTTAAATTACGCAAATTACCAGGCAAACTAACTATCCAGTGGTAAGTTTACTATACATAGATTACTTCAAGAACAAGGCGCTGCAGCATTTAGCATGTTCAGCATGCATTGTTAAATACTGGCTGATATGAAGACAACAACTTGCTTCTGGTGTTTCAAATTAGTCGGAGCATAATGTTGCTTTCGAAAAACTAACTTTAAGTCTACATGATAAGTCAGAAGCCTGTTGTTCAGTGGTTGTCGTTTGTTGGTGTGGTTCGTAAGTGTTTCTCGTTTCTCGTTTTTTATAAAGATTATACCGTTGTTTTTCCTGTTTGAATTGTATTACACTAGTCGTTTTGGGGCCCTTTATAACTTGCTGTTCGGAGTGATCCAAGGCTCCGTGTTGAAGGCCGTACTTTGACCTATTATTGTCAACTTTTTATACATTGTGACTTGGATGAAGAGTTGTCTCATTGGCACTCATACCACATCTTCTTATTTATATGATGATCTGTTTGTGAAAAAAAGCATTTTCGTTGTCGTATAGTTTGCTAGATACATATTTTTCCTTTCTTCCAGATCCTTCATAATGCGGAAAAAGTTGTGAAAAGCAGTTAACGATTGTCCTAAATTTTGAATTATTACTATCTATTTCCGTCAAAATTTAGTATTCCAACAGCTTTACAATTTATTCCTACCTCTCTGACAAATAATTTTGCCTGGTTAGTATATGGATAATAATTACAATGCACACTCATGCGATACTGTACGGAAATGTATATCTTTAGTTGAGTGTGTGATATCCCTGCAGTAAAAAACAGTACATCCCTGATCAGAGATAGAATTGGTATTGTACAAAGTTTTTAAGTAAAAAGGTACAACAGTTTTGGAGATTTGGCCAAGGACGCCTTTAAAACCCTAATGCCTTGTTTTGAAAACGTCGGGTGTGTCGTGGACGTGTTTGATCGATATGATGTGGAACATTCGACTAAATCATCAGAAAGAATAAAGATTAAAACTGAGAATGGAAAAGGGAAATGCGTGAAAGAGACAACAAAGTATATTTCAAATGGTGGTAGATCTAAGGTTCTTCAATTCATTGAATGCATATCAATTAGATAGTGTAATAAATTGCTTTGTGCACCTGAAAATAAACAGGGATTGATAAGGTTTTTAGGTGACTATGCACTCCCGCATTACAATGGTTTTGATTTTCAAGACCATGACGAAATATTCCTAGAAGGATCTTTTCAAAATCTAGACCACTGATGTCTGGCACACTACCAGCTGCTCACGTTCTTACCCGACACGTCTTCTTCAATCGGAATTGGCAAAAAAGACAATTACAAGGCGTCGAAAGAATACCCATGCATGTATCAAAGTTTGTCAATTTAGCTGGTTCTATATTGGCACATCTGTTGCAGCGGAAGGCCAATTCATCGCAGATTAATATTACCCCAGAAGCAATGCTCAATCAGTACATGGTGATCTGAAAAAAAACTCAAGAGTGAAGTCGGCGCTTTCTAAGGGTGCTTTACTTAGTTAGACTACCTCTTTCAGATGCCTCATTCAGAAAGCACATTCTTCGAGTTTACGTTTGAATGAATGCTTATATCGCCAAACCATCAACTAAGTCACCTTTGGAATAAAGATATTGGGAATAGGTCCATAGTTTCAGTATACTAGTATTTTGAATCCAATGTCCTCTCACTTTTTACAGGACCTTGTTTGTACATGTAAAGGCAAAACTATTTGTAGCAAATCTTGCGTATGCTACGAACAGAATGTGTCGCGCACCAGCATTTGTTGTTTTCAGGGCAGTGGTGATTGTAGAAACCAGCTAATTCATCAGATTGTTTTAAAAGTTTGCTACGATAAGGATGATGTTTGAACTATTAATCTCAATGCCCAATATTTCAAGTTTTCTGCTGTTGGTGGCCTCCAACTTGATGTGGTTGGGGAGCTCTCTCTTTCTAAAAAAACCAAAAACATACTAAAACCAAACAAACAAACTTGCTAGTGGTCTCGGACCTTGACGCGGTGGTGCGCTTTCAAACCAACTTGAGATATTATTGTATCGAATATTAATATATTTGTTTCGGAAGTATTACATACTTGTGTGAACGAGACGCACGTCTGGCGTATTGAATTTTAAGCCTAGTACCTTCTGCTAGCTATTATTCGTGTGTTTCTTTGTCCTATATGTTCTCCCATTTATTTGTATTGTGGTCCTGTCATGTGATGTTGTCGTTTTGGTGTTGTGTTTGACGTTGCCATAAAAGCGGGAGGTTTGGCATGCCACAAAACCAGGTTCAACCCACCATTTCTTTTCTTAAAATGTCCTGTACCAAGTCAGGAAAATGGCCATTGTTATATTATAGTTCGTTTCTGTGTGTGTAACATTTTAATGTTGTGTTTTTGTTGTGTCGTTGTTCTCCTCTTATATTTGATGCGTTTCCCTCAGTTTTAGTTTGTAACCCAGATTTGTTTTTATCTCTATCGATTTATGAGTTTCGAACAGCGGTATACTACTGTTGCCTTTATATACCATGACATCCACATATGTTTTCTTAGTATTCCTTTACCTTTTCAAATGGACGTGCATATTGGAGTCTAGTGTTAGTGTATTATATACCTAGACAGCTTCCTTGGTAGCGTAATATCTCTGTGAATTGTGTTTGATTGTAATTCACATTAATATTGGGCATTCGAATCGGTTTTAGTCAAGTCTGCTATATATGCCATTGTTTGTGTTGTTTTATAAAAAAAGGGGGACACAAGTTCTCAATACTTTATTGCTCTTGTACTGATTGACCAATTAACATAAGAAATAAAATTCATCTACTATCGTGTTCATGCTGACATGTATGCATCAAGAATAGTTTTTATATAGTTCCAACATTCTTTTGGGTTTGAATAATCAGTAATAAATTTCATAATTTTTTCATTAAATAATGGACCGGGTGTAAACTTTACAGTACTTATTTCTCCATTGTTCTGTATGGCATTTTAACAAAACTTTCCCAAAAATATCTTTATATGTTGTCATATATTATTGCATAGCTGAATATTAAATATGAACATTTACCGAGACATTGTCCAAAATGTTCAGAAAAGGCGATTTTTTAAAAGTCCCCCTTTGACCTTTGACCAGAGTTTTCATAAATCTGCTCCACTTTGACACTCTACGACATGCCTTAATCAAAGAGTATTATATTTATCTTCAAAATAAGACCAAAATTAGCCGTGAGGTATTTCGGTCCATTATTTTTTTTTAATTTACCTTACTATTATATCGTAGACGGAGTACTTAGACCACTCAACCACCGAATCTCACTGATAGATTGTACAGTTAGCAATTTCCATTATAAAATGATTCAACACCGATAATTTCTTTATTCAAAATGGAAATCGACACAGCAATCGAAATTCATTCGTTTTCTAGCCTAAACACATAACAAAACTGTATAATCCTATATGTGCCAGTTTGCGAGCATAGTTTTGAGCACTAACCCCGGCGGGTGAAGCATAATTCTAATGATCTGGTACATATCTACTTTGCGATGTTGAAACACAGTCAATGGAACACATGGCTTTCTTCAGTTATCAAGACCTGTCGGTGATTCATTGGTTGAAGCATTTATGAACTTGTTAAATCATCATAAGACTGCACAACGTTACACTAGTATATTTCCTGAGCTATAAGTACAGCTTTCAATGTACAACACTGTTACTTTACCAAACGGTACTAGTAATTTATTGGATAAGAAACCCTCGTTATGTATTGATGAACTAATTCCTTGATATGACCAACTGGTCTTTGCATCAACTATAATCAGTACATATCACCTGTGTGTGAACTACGAAGAAATCCATCATGAGAATGAAAACTTTTTTTACCAGGCTTATAATTTGGTACACCAGATGCGCGTTTCGTCTTCAAAAGACTCATTAGTAGCGCTCGAATCAAAACAGTTTAAAGATCTAATACGAAGCTTAAGAGCATTTAACAAAAACGGAAATCCCAAACATTTGTGCCAAATACTAATGAGGCAATCTATGCCCATGGGTAAAACAACGTAATGTTTAGAATATTTTATTATAACAGTAAAACAGAAAATAAACATATCAATGATATTTCATGTCAACAAGAAAGTGTTGACTACAGTGCTGGTGATCCCCTTGGTGTAGGTAAGCAATAAAACATCATTTTAATTTATCAAAAACAATTTTAAAATAGTAATGTTTTAAATAAAAATGTACAAAGACGCAAGGCGCCAAATGTTTAATATATTTGTAGGTTAGAAAACTGAAAATATATAAACACGCAGTTTGAATGTAATATTTTTGTTTTATTTACAGCAATTTACTATTTTGATTCCATAACAAACTTTTTCAACATCATAATTGAAATTGAGCAGGAATTACGTATTTGATTGTTAACAATTTGTTTAACAAAAGTTTAAAAAATCATGTGGAATAAGATTCATTGAAGATTTTTGCTGAGCAAAACCTACATTACAATGAAAAACGTGTAATTATATTTCTACTGAAACATCAAATCAAAGAAATACATAAATTGTTCATAAAAGAGTTAGTTACACCTTACATGTACATTATCTATAATATATACAATTAAGTGTAAGTTTAAAATAAAGAAAGGTGTTAAAAAGTAAAAAAACATAAATACCGAACTCCAAGGAAAAATTCAAAACGGTAAGTCGCTTAACAAATGGCAAAATCAAAAGCTCAAACACATCACACAAATGGAAAACAAATGTTATATTCCAGATTTGGTACAGACATTTCCTTATGTAGAAAATGGTAGATTAAACCCGGTTTTATAACTTTTATAGGTTTTATAACCCCAGTAAAAACTAACAACAATATATAATACAGAACAATCAGTGGTCATATGTATCATTGTACAGTCAATTATTTATCAATATACATTGACACATGATATAGTAACAGGGAACAACAATGGTAAATATATTACAAATTTAAAGAATTTTGCATATTTATTCTTTTTCATTAGTGTTAAAATGGATGAATGCAGAAGGGACTTTCAAAATGAAAGAGATTTAATTAGGAACTGGAAAAATCTGATATTAATATATAAAGGGTCAGAACACTTATTCAAAATGCCTTTATCTTTAACCCAATGTTTAGTTTTGACAGCTCTCCTAATTTTTAAAGTTTAAATTCATCAGAACAATTTTTATCCTGAATTGTACATTTTTCATTTATCAACATACCAATTTTTAACTAATCTTCTTAATCTTGTTCCGGAAGATACTAAAATTAGCACGCTGGTTTCAAAAATATTTATTATGAATACTATGTATCACATCTTCCCTTAAAACTGTAATGCAAATTCAGACACAAGTCAGTGGGGGCTCAAAGTGATCCAAATATATTTTTCATTCAGCAAAAGTTTCATTCTTGAAAATTCATTCATAAATTTTACTAAACAACTATATAAAAGCACTATTTTTAGTCAGAGTAGGGCCATTTGTTCATATGTTTTCAATGTTTTTGCTTCAAGTGAAAAAGATAAATTTAATTTCAATTTAGGATAGGGGAGGGAATGATGACGTGTTAAGAAAAAAAATACTTATATCTAAGAAACGAAGCCAGTTTTTACTATAGATTATCGTTTTTAATCCAGGTAATCTTTAAACACGTGTTTGCAAATGCGATTCCCTCAATTTTTGTTTTTATCTTGACTTGGTTTGTGAGACTTGAACATCGATAAACACATGATTTCTTCTATGAAATGTTCAATAATATTTTCCTAACATGTCGTCGTATCGTTATATAATAAATTATTCTTGTTTTATATAACTTTTTAAATTCTTTAGAAATTCAAACATCAAAATTTCCCATTAATGTTCCTGAAAAATACTATTTCAACGCTTCATATCTAACACTTGTGTCATGAAATGCTTCAAGTAAATAAACATTATTAGCAAATGTGTGAAGTGCATAATATGTAGTACAATTATGACTATATACAAATCATGGAAATTGAATATTTGATTTTGAAATATGTTTAACAGTGTTTAGTATGTTTTCCATAAATATAGATTACAATTGAATGTAACAAAAAATGAAAACAGAGACGGACTAACTGTATATATCTTTTGATTTGAATCGGTAACACAAAAAAAAAAAACACTTAAGATTAGTAACATTCGTAAGAATTATTGTTGTATGAAAATCAAAATTTTGAATAGATTAAATTTTCAATTCACACAATACTGATTTTGAAAATATTTTACAGACAGGATATTTGTTGTTCGAAATATTTACTAATTTTGATGTGTTTTTTATGTTTAACATTGGCCGTGTTACATATTTGACGTACATTCTAATGTTTTCTATATGTACTTTATCGTCTTGATAAAGGCGCTGTATGATAACTATTTGCATTACTTTTTAGACTTAAGAACAGAAATCAAATATATATTCTTAGTAATGTGAAATTTAAAATTTTGTAATGTGTAATCATGTGTTTGAATTCGACGGTGTAGAAAACAATCTCTTATACTATAATCTGTTATATTGCTTACCAATTTTTTCAATATAACGGAACTATAAACAACTGTCATACAACTTCGGAAAAAAGCCATACAAAGTTATGAATATGGCAGTTATTTGATTGATAGCGTTTGATTTTGTCAGTTTTTATTGACTTCCCACTTTTGGAATTTGCCTTGGAGTTCAGCATTTTTTAGATACCCTACATGTAGAAGTACATTTGCTAACATTGTTATTTAAAACGCTAAGGTTTTTTTTCTTAGTGGTCTTATTACAAACGGTTATAAATATACTGTGTTGTTTCAGTTCAAAAGAAGAATAAAATGTTAATTTTGTTCAGCATTGACAGTTTATACAAAATTAATTATGGGTATTGTACAAAAGATGCGGAAGATACAAAACGGATATTCAAACTCATAAGCCTAAGAAAATCTGACAACGCCATTACAAAAAAAACCCAAAATGACTTAAAGGGGTATTAGCTGTCAAATTCATGTTCATCGATTTCACTCAAATTCTCATATCTAATTTATAACACCCTAAAATGTATATCAAAATAACAAAAAGTCTAGAATAAACAATTATCAATATTAATATGTATCAATAATTCATGTGTATTTTTGTCAAGACGTGATCTAATAAACTATCGAGATGACCTCCGAAGACTGCCGACGGTCATATAACCCGATTATAAACATAAATATAAATATGAATAGATAGCGACCACTTGCAATTGGATTTTTCTAGGTTTGTTTCATATCATATTGTAGGATTAAAATTATGTTTATCATCTTTTTTTACCTGTATATGATTTTTTGTGGATCGAATCAGTCAACCAGATGGTTCATTCTTATTTCACTTTCAATGTTGACATTCTTTTCCTTTTAATAGCTGAATACATACGTAACCCATGTCCAGCTAAGGGGTTAAATTGAAGGTCATATGAATACGGATTCGATGAGGTCGAATTGTTCTTTTGCAAGTGAATAATTCATCAGCGATGTTTCTTAGCTTATTTTAATTGACAAAATTGCACCAAATTAGCTGCTAAAAGCGAAATATTTTTTACTATTTCACTTTCACTTTTTTAATTATTGAACAAAACAAAAATCATATTTTAATTCTTTTTATATCTCGTAGCTAATGCCCCTTTAACAGTAAAAACAGTCTACAAAACACAAAACAAAAAAAAACTAAAGACTGAGCAACAAGAAGCCAATCAAAAACAGGCGGTCAATTCAAATGCAAATCCTGTTGCACATGTGAATCCAGTCACAACTTTTAGACTCGAATAGTGTAAAACGTTGGTGTATGAAATCAACATCTAAGAACACCCACTATTGTTATAGTGTTGGGTAACATGAATCTATATCGGCAGGTCTTGTAATTAGAGCTTGCTTTAAGTACAAGCATTGTTCTTTGGTTCGGTAGTTTTTACTTGTATTATCAGTTTTATTGTACTTCTACAGACTATAATATTATTCATGACTAAAATCTCTTTTTGTTTTGTTGAACTTGTATTACTGCTTTTTTTTTCTGTTTACAGTTAATCTCTATTTTCTATAGATTTTGCCTAAAATCCAAAAAAGGTCAAACATCGTCATTTAAGAGCAATAACTCATAAAAAGACAAATGAGAAATTCATCTACATGTAAATGTATGCTGATCTATATATAGATCTTGTCTTACTGATTAATTTAGCTTTTTTAAATTTCTAACTTTATATTATAGTTTTCAAATGCAAAAACTGATAAAACGTTTCATTTGTTGGGCACAAACTCATATAAAGAGTTGACCAACGCTTTCATAAAAATCATCTTTATTGCAGATCTTTGCCTTGCGGATAATTTTTGCTCTCTAAAATTTTTCTTTGTCTATTAAAGCTTCAAAATAATAGGCAAAACTCTAAAAGCGTATAAAATCATCATTTAAGGGGTCAACTGATGATTTTCGCAATTTTACTTGTTTGTAGATTTGTTATGATAATTTTTGCTTTTAGAGTTTCTATTTTTTTACTAAAGTTTTCAAGATAATAGGCAAACACGCACTTTTGGTAAAATTCGTCATATACGGGCGATAACTGTAAATGGACAAAAGGTCCATCTCACCATTTTGAACATTTTTTGTCCTGGTCAGTTTTTCTCTATCTATAGTGGTTTTCCTGATAATAGACAAAACTTGCATTTTACCCCTATGTTCTATTATTAGCAAGTCGGGTATGTAGGTTAGCAGGCGGAGTCATCGGAAACATTTTTAAAACTGGATACCCTAATAATGAATGTGGAAAAATTTGGTAAAATTTGGCCCCTTAGTTTGAAGGGACTCGATACTTGTAAAAATTAACAGACGACGGACGACGACGACAAACGACGGACGCCAAGTGATGAAAAAAGGTCACACAGGCCCTTTGGGTTTCAACTAAAGACTAAACACTTTGCATTTTCTATCATATTATTCTATATATAGTTCGTGCAATTGTGAATTCAAGGACTGTAATTGAAACTTGATATATTTGCTGACAAATTAAAAAAAAACAAGGTATTGATCAGTTGCGTCAATTCCAGGAACTAAAAATTTTGAACTTTCGTGGAAAATTATTATACATTATACAATATCTAATTAATAAATCGATGATAGGCATATTAAATGCAGAGTTTAGTACTGTCTTGTATTCTAACAGAGACAACAACTTATAGGTAAGTTTATCATAATTATATAATATCGTAAGAACAACAAACGTAGAAAATAGTACCATGCTTTCTAAAAAGTTTTAAACATAAAAAAATAAAAAGGTAACTTAAAACAGAAAAATTCAATATGAACATCTATTTAATCTTTCTTAAAGGATGTAAACGATCCTTAATATTTAAGACGGCAAATATCAGTCAGGCAATTAAAACTCTATCAAATATTGGAAAGCATATTGCATGTATTTCAATAATACATTAGCATCTATATTTTTTATTTCAGAATTAAAAATAAAATATTATCAAAAAGGTTAACACACTCATGAAATCATCTTTAACCCACAACCAGACATGTAGTTTTATGCGAAACGTTTTATTATTGTTGCTTGTCTTTTCGTCGTTTATCTTTTTAGTCAAGGTGTTGTCTGTTTTTAATGAACTTTTATTTTTGATTGTCCCTTTTTAGTTTCTTTCTAGTATATTGTTCTTAATAATGGGATGATTTGACTTTTTGAAATACTTTGTTGATCAAACGATGTGATACGCTACGTTCATATGATTAGATAATTATAAATGTGATGAAAACTACAATTTACCTTGCTACGAGTGAAGTATAAGGTTGGTAGTTCGTAACTTTTCTAAATAGATATTCTTTCGATCTAAGATGCAAAGCAGATGACGCTTACCTTGTCGAAGCACATTGTCTCGCTATTTTTGGAGTGCAGTATTCCCGCAGTTTTTTGTTTTACATTGATTTGTATATTTTGTTATGGATAGATAACTCCAATATTAATAAGGGGTCGACTGACGATTTCGACCAAGCAGCTTATTTGTAGATTGAATAAGTTACGTAGATGTATGCATTTTTATAGGTCTTCCCGCTGCCCGGCCTGTATCACTCTGTTCAGCCTTCATAAAATTGCACCTTACGGCTTTTTGACGTCAAAAACTTTTACCTGGCCTTAAAAACTTTGACCCAGACTTATCACCGACGTCATAATCTTTGAACTGACGTGATAAGTTTAACCCGAACTTGATAAGTCGTATTCCGGTTTGGTGGATCAACAAAGAGAAGCTACTGTTTCTATCTTCATAACACACGAGAACAATCCGAAATTTTATAAAAATAATGACGCATACGTTTATTATTAATGTTATAAAATATCAACCGCTTGACACAATATGAAGCCGTTAAGCACTTATTTGCTGCGCCCAATCATCCAAAATCTTCATATTATGACTTGCAGCTGCAATTTATTGTTTCATTATTATATGTAATATTTTCAAAAAGTCTGTTACTTTAGTATACCTGTTTTGTACATGACTAATGAATAATTAGAAAATCAAATGGAGTTGTGTATCATTTGAAGTTAACATACAAGCTTCGCCTATATTTAAAACATCCGGCGTTTACTTGATAAGTTTCGAATTGTGTTTTATAGATATATTTTGTTAATTTTTCAACCAGACAAAATGTGATTGTTATTTTAATTGCATCGTATCTTCTAATGAAACATTCAATGTGCCTTATGAATAAAAGACATAGACTTTTCTCAACAGGTATAAAATCATCAAATAAAAAAGAGGAATAAACATGTTTTTGCCACTACTTTTTGCAGTTGTATTGCCTTTAATTGCAGTCCAAAGTAACGACAATGTTCAGGTTTGTGTATTTGATAATGAATGCGATCGTCTGACCAAACAGCGATACTCTTAAACTCCTTACTTTCTTTTTTTTTGTATTAAAAAGAATAATGTTTCTCTTAATTGGAAGAAGCACCTGTCAATGTAAAAAGAGCAAAAGACGTATACGTAGCTGCTATATCTATATATTATATGTCTAAATGTTTGACAACTCTAAAACAAACATTGTAAATCTAGGTTTGTGTAGGCATAAAACTACAATATATATATATATATATATAATTCATCTGAAATTTACTATCAGAATTTACAAATGAAAAGTGATTTGAGAAAATATAGAAATAATGACGTAAGGCAATTCCTTCTTGAAAGTCTAATATCTGTATGTACAATTACTTTTATTTTAACTTGTTTATAATATTTTGTTTGCATTTCTTAATGTGAAGATGTATTTCGTTGTAAGTATTGCATACATTGAATCCAATAGTGAGGTTTTTTTTACAGTATTACCTTTGCATATTAAATGTTCTTCAGTGTGAAATTACTGGAGCTGAACTTGTAACAATTTTCTTGAAAAATTGGAGGTTTTGGCTATTCTTAGTAACCGTGTACCAGTTTCTTATAAACTGTAACACACTTAAAAATTATATTTATTTATTTTTCAACTCACAGACATACAGGATCAATATTAAAGTACCTGGAGGAAGGGTGAACGAGGATGTTGTTGTTGACTCAAAGGCAAACCTAATGACTGTCAATGTCGGGGACGTCTCCCAACTGAATAACTCTTATTGTCCATCAATCAATCTTCATGATTTTGAAAAGGTTTGTGTATTAAATCCTTTAACTTTTTTTTCAGACAATAAGAATAAGACAATATTTGACACAGCAAGCTAAGATGCATAAAATATGTTAAGCTAAGTTTTAGTCTTTGTTTCTAAAAGAATCATACAATACTAGTTATTCTTTAACCACAACTAGTAAATATCTAACTCGGTGTCAAATTATATTTTTGATGCTTTATAGCTATTTCTCTAATTTTGATGCTTTTTAAAAAAATTTCGATCGATTTAAAAAAAAAATATTTCTCATCTCTAGAGAAAACTTTTTTCTCGGCAAATGATTGGTCGTAATTCAATTATGACCTCTTTTCTTTATTTTTTCTGAATTTTCTATTGTAACGTCCTGAAAAAAGGCAGCAATGTCTGATGACGTCACATATAGAGAACACAACTTTCTGCAAATCTTGAAAAGGAAGGATTAAGTTTCCACCACTATATCTCGTATATAATGATATTTTCCCACTCTTTACCTTTGAATTTTAAATATTTAAAACGCTCGTCAAGCCTCGCGTTTTACATTTTAAAATTTAACCGTCTCGAGCGGAGAAATATCGAAACACACTTGATGCAGTGGTGGAATCTATATGCAAACTTGGCATTTTATGAAGTTTAAAATGTAAGTGTAAACTGGTATTCAAGTTTTTTTCTCTATTTATATTTTTTAATGTGTTCTATTGCAATTAGTTTACCGAATACCTAAAAGTCTTTTGTGTTATTGCTTGCCTTAATGTAGTCAGACTCATTTGGGTTTTGAATAGTTATAATAAATACGGTAAACACAAAGGGGTAACAGGAAGTGCATTTTAATTTTCAGCAAAAAGTTGCCATAAAGAACATAGATCATGGACTTTGCCTAGTAATAGATACAAAGGAATCGAAAATCGATTCAGTGGGTTTGTTCAACAAAATAGAACGGTAAATGTTAATTGTCATCGTCAGAGTAATACGATAACTTGTTGAATTACTTTACAGAGTGTCAATGAATTATATTCGGTTTCAATTCAATTGAGTGCCGAAGACAATAACAAAGAACTTTCACAAATCGGTTATACATGCCACCATAAATCATATACTAGTACTAAGTTGCAACCCTTGATAAAGCCGACGACGAACTGCATCACAAGAGTAATGAACACTTTATTTCATAAAGCGTATTCGACCGCGTAGGGCGCTGGACAAAGTACACGAGGAGTTGCCACAGTGTAAAAAAAAACCGATTTCAAATCCCTTTTAGGGAAGAACAAAAATATTTAAACCGAAACTCGGAGATCTAACAAAGACGATGATCTTATGGCTTTATCGTAAGTTATCCGATGAAAAATGTCTCACGTGTGGTTGAACCATACTAAGCAGTATAAAAATAGAAAAAAAAAATGCGCGAGTTCAAGGTAGGTATTATCGCTAACAGGTATTATGAAATGTTTTATATATATATATATATATATATATATATTCTGTCATGTACTGAAAAAAGGCTAGGAGAGTTGTCTCATTGGCACTCATATCACATCTTCCTATATCTACCCATGACTAATGAAAAAATTTTTTTTATTAAGCCTAGCCCACAAACTAGTGAAGGTCACTTGACATAGTGCAGACGAAGTTACCATAATGTTACAAAACCATGGGTTCAAATATCTCTCAATGAATTACAAAAAGTGCAATCGCAAATTTATAGACTTACAAAATTTCAGACAAAGGGTATTTAATTCATGGTGTTAGAACTGTAAAATCCTAAGTTATTCAGGGCTGACACCGAATTTGTATTTACAATGTGCAATATGACGGGTGCCACTAGTGAAGCAGGATCTACTTCACTCCCGGATTACCTGCGTTCGCCGACTTTTAGGTGGAATTAAGCTTGCTCAGTCTAACGTTTTCACTTGCTAATGAATTTAAGTCTTAAACGTCCATTTCGATCTCAACATCATCTGCAAAGTCTAAACCTGAACGCGTTAATTATTGTAAAAAGATTTAGATATATTTGAGACAATTTCTTGTTTGTGATAGGCTAAACACGACTCACGATAGCTATCTAAAGCCTGGTTCGCTGAGAAGTGTAAGGCGCTAGACACATTGCAGTTATAGTTGCTACAATATCAAATAAACAACGGTTCAAATCTCTCACCGAGTAATGTTCAATCATTTGATTTTATATTGTTGAACTAAATTCAGACGAATAAGTATATATTGAGATGTGTCTCGTAAATAATAGAATTATACTCTGAGTAAATGCCAAAAAAATAGTCTATATATCTATTTTAGGTTACACTACCAGCATGAAATTAAAGACGAAATATTGGTCCGTGCGCATCCAATTACACCCGATGAAATGTTAAAAATAGCTGGAGAAAAACTTGCAGAATTTTGTCGAGGTTACAAACTATTTAATGGAGAACGGGTTCAACATGATGGTGTACACATAGCTTGTATGTTTTTACTTACATGTGTTAATCGTCTCAAACTTTAAACACAAAGAATATAATTTAAGTGTTATGCTAGAATTTAAAATAAAATTTAGGAACCCTTGTCCCGATTTTCAAATATGTTTCAAATGGACTTTTATTGGCATTTTGAGCTAAATAAAATAGTTTTAAATCATCTGTGTTTAGATTTTAAATCACACACTGTGACATAAATAATAATGTTAATGCTTTAAATTGCATAGCTGGAATTTTATGTTAGTCATAATGAATTTTATTCTATCCTTATCTTTGACACGAAAAAATTCAGTATAAATCTTTCATACAATTGCTATAATAGTGAAAATCTTTATTTCAGTTAAGAAAGCAAGACGTAAGTATATTACAAGACTGACTATTTTTTTAATATTTTAAATTTCTATATTTCTTATCAAGAATATTTATAAATTTCAGTACTTTAAACGTGAATATCTTTGCGATTGAAACATTTGCACGCGCGGATTATATTTGCTTAAGAAGGATTAATCATGGATTGTCTTAAATAATTTTTTTGTAATAATGCGTGTGATGAGGAGATAACGGTGGTAAGATAACCTGCAGATGTAACTGTTAAAGAAGAGATGATGTTTCAATACGCGCCAAATCTATCAATTATTAAAGAATCGATGACAGGAGAACAATCAATCGCAGAGAATTTTGGAACAATTGCTTTAAAATATCTCATACTTCATTATCAAAAATTGATCAAGGACGTATCATACTTAAAGGTTGTATTATTTAATGTGAATTTCAAAAGAATTTGTTAATATCAAGAATATGAACAATTCATTTATTGTAGGTGTAAAACGTAGTGTACGAGGATACCTCAGAGGTATGTATCAAATTCGAAATTGCCCTATTTGTAAAAGAAAATAAAAACAAAATCAATTTTCTCTTCTTTCATAAAATCATTAAAACAAACTTACCAAAATTAATTCCATAAAAATGTGTTTATATTTAATGATATTTGTATCAGAATAACCACAAAGCGGTTGACTACACCACGTTGTAAATTAGTTAACTTTATATAATATCGTTAACGTTGTTGATCACATTTTATTACTTATTGACCATTTTGAAACTTTTATTTCTTTTTTGCAGGCTGTAGTTTTTTGTGTGGTTGGTGTATAATAGGGGCTTCATAAGCAAGATCTGATGTGCAAATCCGGACGCCCGACAAAGACAAGACAAAAAACTTTTAACTACATTAGAAAAGTTCAAACTGCTATGTTATATTTAATAAATATATCTAAATGTAAAGCATTTTCATTATTATCTTAAAACTAACTGTATCCCAGTTGTTATGTACTAAATTATGTCTTAAAAAAAAAAAGTTAAATCACAAAAATACTGAACTCCGAGGAAAATTCAAAACGGAAAGTCTCTAATCAAATTGCAAAATCTAAAGGAAAACACATCAAACGAATGGACAACAACTGTCATATTCCTGACTTGGTACATGCATTATCTTATGTAGAAAATGGTGGATTGAACCTGGTTTTATAGCGCTAAACCTCTCACTTGTATGACGGTTGTATCAAATTCCATTATATTGACAACGATGCGTGAATAAAACAAAAATGTGTAAGTGTTTCTTTTCAAACACGTATGTATGTTTTGTTTTTGACAATTTCTTGAAATTCTCTCAAGATTCTTAGCTGTAGTTACATACATTCAGTATCCAAAAACAGACAGCGTTTCCTAATTATAATAAAAAATATAATTGCTATGATGTGATACTCAATAATGATACTTTCTTTGAGTCAATTGTATTACTGCACGGCAGATTATGCAAAAACTCATCGAAAATACCAGGCGGTTTATAGTTTGGCATGCCGTATTTTTAGATATTAAAGGCTTTGGCGTGACAACAGGTGAAAGAATTCAAACGAGAAAGCAAATGGTCAGACATTTGCTAAAAAAATAGATGAATATCAAATCTAGCAATTAACGACAACAATTGAATTACAGTCTTGACTTAAGACAGACAGACCCTATGGTGGCCTATTGCTGCCTATATCCATGTCATTTTGTCTCTAGTGGATAGTTGGCCTCACCTCCTTTTCTTTATTCAACATAACGAATGAGTAGGTGTTAAACATGCTTGTGAGTGATCATTCCTCCCTATAACTTGGACAGTGACGTAACAGCACAGCATAAAAGCACACTATAATACAAAGTTGGAAAAGGATTGACTCATCAGATCTACACAAAATTAAAATAACACTTTTCTAAATTCTGTGTGCTTTCTGGATTTATTCGCCAGGAACGCTCAAATATAAGCTCAACAATCAAAACACTTAAAAAATGACAAAAAACACAGAGTAGCGATCTGAGAGTGCTCGCAGTTACTAAACGCTGGTTCTAGCCAATTTAAACTAATGAATAAATAATGTTTTCCAAGACAAAACAGAAAGCACTACACATGCAATTCGTTTAGTTTGATGACGTCTCAATCAGACTGAATAAAGCGTGACCTTATGCAATGTTCAATTATATGTAGCGACATGGTGTAGGGCAAGCAGTATTTGTAACTATGTAGGCATATACATTTTGAGATATGTTTTAATTTATAAAAACATGAATGCTATTATACCTGCCGCAAACAAATATTGGGAGTATATAGGAATCACCATGTCTGTCCGTCCGGCCTTCCCTCTGTCTGTCTGTCTGTTTGTCCCACATCATGTCCGGTGCATAACTTTTGTTCCGTAAAACTTAGGTTAACTAAACTGTGGTACGCAGTTTCATCATAGGCTAGGAGTGTGTTATATAACAAACTCATGTCACTTTGACCTTGACCTTAGCACTTATGATAGTTAAACCTTTCCAATTTGTGTCTGGACTGGGTATTTGTCAGGTCACTCTAACCTTGATTTTGGCCTTTGATCACTACACTACAAACCAATAAAAGTCTGAAATGACCTACAGTGGAGATCACTTCTAACCTCTCATTAAAACTGTCAGAATAATCTGTCATAGAACTGTTTAAACTGTCCTAGAACAGTTCTACCTAGAACAGTTCTACCCTAGAACTGTTCTAAGTAGAACTGTCAGAATCAGTTCTAGGTAGAACTGACCAAATCAGTTCTAGGTAGAACTGTCAGGATCAGTTCTAGGGTAGAAATGTCTAATACTGTTCCAGGTAGAACTGTCCAAATCAGTTCTAGTCGTAGAACTGTCAGCAGAACTGACTAAATCAGTTCTAACCGTAGAACAGTTCTAAATGACGTCACTGCATTTAGAGAAATGTTAAAACAGTGCTGTGATGAGAATTTTGTTGATATATATTATATTCTTTTGACTTATTTATATTTAAGACAAAGAGTTCTTAAAACTGTTCTATGGATATAACTGACTAAATCAATTCTAGCCGTAGAACTGACCAAATCAGTTCTAATCGTAGAACTGTTCTAGTCGTAGAACTGTTCTAGCCGTAGAACTGACTAAATATTTGGTCAGTTCTAGGTAGAACTGTCTAAAACTGTTCTAGTGTAGAACTGTCAGGATCAGTTCTAGTGTAGAACTGTCAGGATCAGTTCTAGGTAGAACTGTCTAAATCAGTTCTAGGTAGAACTGACCAAATCAGTTCTAGGTTAGAACTTTTCTAGCTAGAACTGTCTAAAAGGTGTCAGGATGACAGTTCTACATACTGTCCTAGAACAGTTCTCCTGACAGATTTGATGAGAGGTTAGAAGTGATCTCCACTGTAAATCTGTACTCAACTGTACTGATTTTTACTCGACCAGTCTGAATTGGTCTGAATTTTACTCGATATTACTCGACCCCAATCTTAACCATACTCGACTGTACTGATTTGTACTTGACCCTTGTCTATGCCATTGAAAAAAGTCTGGACTATTACTCGACCAGTCTGAAACAGTCTTAACCCATTCTCGATCTGTACTCGACCAATATTCGACTAGTTCTCGATCTATTTTTTCAGTCTGAACCATACTCGACCAAAGGCCTGAACCATACTCGACCAAAGGCCTGAACCAAACTCGACCAAAGTCTGAACAATAATCTACCAGTCTGAACCATACTTGACCAAATAACCTATACTTTTTAAGTTTTAACTGTTTATATATTAACTATCTTTTTAACTGACATGCCAACAGCCAAAAGAAAGTAAAAATATATTTACAGATTTTTACATCCTTACATGATTATCAGATTTATCAAATCGAAAAAGTTAAATTATCCAATTTTAAAGTTTGAATCTTGGTAAAAAAAACCTGAAAAACACACCTGTACTGAGGGAAATAAAACCTATTTAAGGAACTTCTTGTTTGCCATGGGAATTTTTACCGAAACTTAATTGACCTAAATTCTTTAATAAAAACTACATAGGTTTCATGGTAACATACAATAGTCATATAACTATCTTTTTAACTAACGTAACAACAGCCAACAGAATCACTAAAATTGTTTAACCTTATATCAGAAATATATCTTTTCTTATTATAATTTCGCAAACAGATATAAAAGTGATAACAAAATTAAAGAAATGATTTAAATTGTTCTTCTGATTAGGGGTAAACTGTAAAGTAATTCATGCAGCTTGGGGCACTACATTTAAAAGAGCGCACCTGGTCAAAGAGTAATAAATCTTAAATAACATTCTTTGAAAATTAAACAGCATCCTGTAAACCTTAAATCACAAGTCTTTTTGAATTCACTAGAAAAATAATATACGAGTTTAAAGAAAAATAGGATTTTCTGTTTACCTGTGAAACACACCTGTACTGAGGTAATTAAACCTTATTAAGGTGCTTCTTGTATGCCATGTCTTTAATTTTGACAAAACGTAATTAATCAACCTAAATTGTTACTGCAATTTTGGAACGCAATTCCTTTTTTAATAGGTTATCAAAGATTTCTATGGAAGTCTCTATAATGTTAAATTCTTGGTTTTACAAAACAAATAAGTCATTTTAAAAATTTATTAAGTTGCGTTATATACAATATAAAAAAAAGTTCACTGCCTTATTTACTGAACTCGCCTAACACCACTAATTTATACCAGACTTAAGTAAGTGTTGAACATTTTCCAGTAACCATTAAATATATCTGAAACATCAAAAAAATTTGAATACCATTTCAAAAAGGGGCTAGGGTTACTAAAGGGACATTCAATCTCATAAGATATTTGAATAATGGTCGAAAGTTGTAGTATTTTTGATGTACATAATACAATGTAAACTTGATCATGTATATAAAAATTCATTTAACCGAAAACTTAATTTATTAGATGATATTTTTTTAATCCGACAAGAAATCACTTCCTTTGATCATCTTGATTTCTATTTTTATTTCAGAGGTGATATACATTGTATATATATATATATATATTAATAGATTGCCTAACAATGTAATTTTAACACACTATTAAGTATGTAAATATTAGAATGTTTAAAATATTTACAAAACAATAAAATTAAACGCAATATTTCCCTAGACAAACTAGCTTTATCAAGCGTGCATCTATCTAGGTGAAATCGGATGTAGATGATAAGAAACTTTTGCAGCTCAATGTACATGTTGCACATGAATTTAGCTGCCTTGTAAATAATACATAATGTGGATGAAGTTCAAGATTATATACAAAATGTGTGGTTGAAGTTTGCAACGTCCATTGGCCAATATTGCAGGATAAAAAAGACGATGCTGTGTATTAATTATTCTTTATCTTTCCTGTATCTCTTCTCGTCTTTTTCGTTAAGACCATCCGGTTCTAAAGTGTGGAGCTGGTGGATCCAAAAGTTTTCTCTTCTCCTTCTCGCCGTGGTGTCCTACTCGGTGTTGACTTCTATGATTTGGAAAGTAACATTATCAAAAGGATGTTTCATTGAGCGAAGATGTCTTGTGAGAGGACAGTTTTTTTGGTTTTGTACCATGAACGATGGTTATTGAGCCGAATATTAAATTTATCCATTGTTTCTCCCACATACTGAATGCCACAAGTGTTACATGTTAATATATAAATTGAGTTCTCCGTTTTACAGTTGGAATTTGAGTAGATGGTATAATTTTGTTTAGTAACGGAGCTGATGAAAGAACTGCTTGTATTGGCAGCTTTACAACACAAGCAATTCCTTCGACCACATTGTTTGTAGCAACCGGGAGGTGGAGTAGGCTGCTTTGCTAATACAGATGTCACTAATTTGTCACGGATGATTTTAGGTCTTCTGAAGGCCATGACTGGTGGTGAGGAAAATACTTTCTTTAGATTTGAGTCATTTTCTATAATTTTCCAA